TGTCGCCCGCGCACTCTCCATGAGATACGCGTCACTGACTCGCCATCTGTCTGCGGACTAGAAGATGTCGCACTGCACGCGGCGCCACTATATGTCTGCGCCGACTCCGACACTAGAAACTAGGAGCAGTACAAAACGTGACGCCTGCCGACCTCCTTCGCGACGTTGCTCGTCGTCAGCTTCTGCAGCAGGTCGACGATCCCGAGGCCCGACATCTCGAGCCGCCGGATCGGCGTCAGATCGTACATGGCGGCGGCCGTCCGCGTCTTCCAGGCCTCGACGGCGGTGATGGGCGAGTCGTACCGCGCCGCCCACGCGTCGCGCTCCCGCGGGCGCCACGCCGCCGGCAGCTCCCGCAGCAACGTCGCATTGGCCTCGAACCAGTGCGGGCGCTCCCAGCCGCCGGCCTCGAGAAAGTAGGCGCCGAGGTCCTCGTGGCGCGCGTGGAACGGGCTCACGCGGAGGTTCCGCGGCGCGTCGCGCGGCTGCAGCGGGTGCAGAATGTCGTAGACCTCGACGAAATTCTGCTGGCCCGTCTCGCGGACGTAGGCCGGTGTCAGCTGGACGCGCTCAAAGCGCGCAAGGTCGCAGTCGGCGAGGTCGGCGTCGGCGCGGCCCGTCGTCAGCAGCTGCGCCACGGCGCGCGCGACGCCGGCTGAGTGCGTCACCCACACGGCCTCGGCGACGAAGAAGCCCTCAAGCGCAGGCGCGCGCCCGATGAGCGGGCCGCCGTCGGGCGTGAAGGACATGATGCCGTTGAAGCCGTGGGCGATCTCTGTCTCTCGCAGCGCTGGGAGGAGCGTTTGGCTCAGCGTCCAGGCGGGATCAAAATCCTCGGGGGTGAAGTCGAGGCGCGATGGCATGTCGTGCTCGGAGACGTTGGCTCGGGTCTCGCCCAGCGAGGCCGCGACGACTGGGAGGGGACGGTGGCCGTAGAATCCGATGCCCATGTGATCGCCGTGCTCGCGGTAGTACAAGTCGCGGTCCTGGTGGCGCAGGATGGGCAGGCTCGCGCTGTTGGGCGCCGGGTTCTTGGCCTTGAGCGCCGGCACGGCCGTCGTCTTGGCGTACTGGTGTGCCACTGGCTGCAGGGGAATGGGCAGGTCGACCATGGCGCCGACTTCGACGCCCCAGAGGCCGGCGCACGAGATGACAATGTCGGCGGGGATGGTGCCGCTGCTCTTTGTGATGACGCCCGTGACGCGGCCGTCGCTGCGTTCAAACCCCGTCACCGGCGTCATGCCCAGATACGTGACGCCCGCCTTGCGCGTGCGCTCAATGAGAACCTGCACAGCCTTGGCGGCCAGAGCCAGCCCATCAGAGGGGATGTGCAGGCCGCCGAGGACGACGTCCTTGCTCAGCAGCGGGTACAGCCTGCAGCACGCCTCGGCGCTGATGAGGCTCGACTCGATGCCCCAGGACGACGCGTAGCCGTGTTTCCGCTTCAGGTCCTCGAGCCTCTCCGGCGTCTCGGCCACTTCGAGGCCGCCGACCTGGTTGAAGCAGCCGATCGAGAGCAGCTTCTCGACGGTGTAGCTGGCGAACGAGGTCAGCGTCTTGGACGGATTCGTCTGGAACACGAGGCCTGGCGCGTGCGATGTCGAGCCTCCCGGCATCTGCAGCGGGCCCTGCTCGACGACGGTGATGTTGGTCCATCCGCGCGCGACCAGCTCGTCGGCAATGTTGGTGCCGACGATGCCAGCGCCGATGATGACGACGCGCGGGGTGGCCATGGTCCGGTCAGCCGCGGTCAAATGCGTGAACGGGAGAATCGCAAAAGGGGGCTCAAGTTTCTACGATTTAGAAAGAGATGGGTTAAGCTATTGGTTCATTAGAGAAAGGGGGCAGGTAAATCATTCTCATCCTCCTCCTCAACGTATGAGGATTTGACTTATAGTAATCCGAGCATCATCAGTCCATCGAGAACCCCGCCATCAAACACTACCCGCCCGCCCAGTGACTTCATCCGCGTACCGCACTAGACAGCAGAGCCGCCCCCCGCGTCGCTGATTGCCAGGCCACGGGTTGGGTAGTAGGCAAACGTCTCGCTCGGGCACAAAGGCCGTCGAAAGGCACGTCGTTTCGTATCGCCTCGACTCCGGTCACGTGATCGGCTTCACACGCCGCCTCGCCCGTCCCCCCCCCCCCCCCCCCCCCCGGCGTGATTTACCCATCACAACAAACGACAACACTTTCGGTTTGTCTTCTCTATCACCACGCTCCGCTTCAGTTATACCAGATTCGGTCAACGCTACGCCTCACTCTCTGTTGCAAGGGAGACGTGGTCCTCGCCCCCCTGCCCCCCTCGCCGCCGCCGCCAGCGCCGCTCTGACATTACACTTGGGCATCAATCTCGGCGTCTGGCGAGCGCGAGGCGTCGCGGCCGCTGACCCCTCCCTCCCCTCCAGAGGGGAAACGGGTGTGTCCTCGTGGTGCAAGCAAGCCCCCCCTACTAACCCTGGCCATGTACCCCGCGTTCGCGGTCGAGACCCTTATCAGGATCAGCTGGGATCGGTACCCACGAGGTGTGTGTCGTAGTGGGGCGTTCCTATCTGGCGCGGCGAGACGCCGACGTGTGTGCATCACGATGCGTCGTTCTGATGCATGCGTCAGTCGTGGCCCGCGCCGGTGTCGGCATCCGGCACATGTTGGGGCCACGATGGTATGAGTCGGCAGGTATGACATGGCCTTGGGCGTCGAGAGAGGGGGCATGACTGAGGGTCACGATGGGGGACTCGGGTGGAGAGGAACGGTTGATGAATGTGACGCGGAAAGGCACCATGGCACCTCACTATATCTGGCGACCCGTTGTAGTCTGCTCAGGAATGAGTATAATAACACAGTGTTACAGTGACGGGGCTTTGAGAAGTGTGATTTTCAATGAGAGAACAAGTCGATATTGGACGTGTTCCAACACGCCACTGTTATCTCGAAAGGGAACAACCAGCTCAGTTAGGACATAGACTGTCAACTGCCGGCGCTATACAAACCTTGCGGGACGACTTTTGGTGTATCATCTATCAGCTTGGAGGCGAGAGGTCGTATTTCCATAGTCTTTCGTACAATGATGATTAAATTATTAATCGTACACACAATTGGGATTTTGGGTCTCCCTATATCCCAATGCCATCTCTCAAAGTCAAATCGAAATGAACCAACGCCGTCGCTAAAAGTGATTGAACATGATATTGTCAAAGTTTTCGTCCTCCCACCATGCATTCCCCGGCTCGGATTGGTTGTAGCCAATGTCTCCAATGCTGAAAAGCTGGGAAGAGTCCGCGTACAACCACGGCGTGGTGTTGAAAGTAAGACTGTCAATCTGCTCCACGGTTGGCGGATCATAGGGCGCCACCTGCGGAGGATGCAGGCCGGGGTTGACCGGTGCCTTGAATGACAAGGTCGGAGAGTCTTGCCCGCCGTCGGCCGTGTTGATGGATATTTCTGGCGATGTTGCCACCACGATCTCGAGCGTAGAGTTCTCGTCGTCTTCATCCTGCCGCAGGGCGGTTGTGAGTGAATCGGCCAGGAGGCCAGAGGTTGAGATGCCTTGGGCGTCAGTCGTCGAGTTGAACTGCAGAATCCTCCACATCAACGGCACGCTGAGATAAATTCTCGACGGCATCCAGTCTTCGACATCCATTGTTTCCGACCCAGCTGCGATGCGTGTCATTCTATCAAGATCACGGTCCTAGGTCGTGTCAGTTGCAGTACCTAGAAAGATGCGGAAGCCACATGAACGTACGAGGGCGCCGCAGGCAGCGGAGCAAGGGATAAAGCTCTTCAGAAATCTCCTGCACTTGGCAAAGTCCGTGTTCGACTTGTGCTTCAACCTGGCCGCCGCGGCGCAGCAGTAATAAAGATGCACTGTTGCCGCAATGGCGGCGGCATGCCCGAAAAACGGGTCGACCAGAGCGACTTGTTTATCGACTACCATGTCGATCATCCGGACAATCCACGTGGCGTGAAGCAAGGCTTGCTCGGACGAACGTCTCCAAAAGGTGTTGGGGATGCCCAGGTTCGGGTTGTGCTGCGCTCCAATGATGTAGAGAAAGGGATGGTTGAGGACTGTGGGGATAACGTGGTACGTGAACTGTTCCTTCAGCCACGGCGCCCAATAGTCGCGGTTCATCTTGAGCTCCTCAACCTTGCGCTCATAAAACTTGACTGAGTCGTATCGATGACACATCGGGATCCTGTTCTCCGTCTCCATAAAGTCGGAAAGCACTTTGGCATAGGTCGAATCGTGTCGCCAGGGCTCCTGCAGAATGTTGTGGGAGCAGTCGGACACGTATTTCCTGACCTGGCTCCAAACCCACCCCAGGTGGACGCTGGTGTTCCAGATGCCCGGCTCGCTGGGCCTCGTGGTTCCAAGTTCGTCTTTTGGTAATGGCGGGACCTTGGACTTGGGTTCTTTTTGCTTCTCGCCTGTAGAGTGAAACGCCGGCTGCCAAATATCGGTCGGGACGCTCAAGAGGCCATCTTGTCGGCCGTAGGACTGTTCAAGAAGCTGAAGGCTCCAAAATAACCGCTTCTTTCGCTCCGTGATGGCGTCTCTAACCAGGTATACCGACTCCGTATCCAGCATGGCAGATCTACAAAGTTGGAATGCAAGGCCCAGGTGAAACTGCCCAAGATGAACGTTCCCATCTGGTCATCGTCAGTGGTCGCTCATGGAGGAGAAGTCCATGAAGAAGATGAGGGCAGAGATAGATACCTATAAATGCAGCATAGGACAAAAGACAGAGGCTTTCAATGGTCGTCAAATCAACGGACCCATTGGCGATGCGCAGCATGATCAGCGTCTTTGCGTTGTTGCCGTAGAGGTGGAGATGATCGCATTTCTGAGAGAAGCGCGACGTCACAGCCAGGATGCTGCAGGCGAGCTCCTCCGGCAGAGAGCCATAATCCGAGACCTCGTCACGCTCAAAACACCAGATGGGCTGCCTGTGACAGAACTTGAAATAGAGGTTGATGCCGTTGGCCATGTCCGATCTGCCTGGCCGCAGGTTGGCCAGGTCCGGGTCGAACATGGTAGGAAAAGGATTCGTCGTCGGGAAGTTGGCGGCGTCTCGCGGCGGCGGCGAGACGGAGAAGGACTCCTCGGGCGGCGAAGTGCTTCCGTCCTCGTTTGCTTGTTGTTGGCCCTGGTACCTCGGATGCTTCGCCCTGTGAGCCGGGTCAGACCGCTTCAAACGCGTTGGCTTTTGGGTTGGTGGTCAGTACAGGGCTCCTCCGCTGAGGAGAAGATCCAGCTTCTCTTCGAGGCTCTGCAGCCTCTCATCCTGTGCCGCTGTCAGTCGAACGTCACAACAAGCAGTTGGGACCGCGTGAGATCAGTACCGAGCGTCCACCAGGCGATGGCTTGTTAGGGGGATAAGAGCAGGCCTGGCTCAGGCGAACGCAACTCGAGCATGACGGCTTCTCGCCCGGACATCGGGTCTTCTTGCGCCTGATGGGCTGTCAGATCCGCATCCCGCGGCGATAAGGTGGAAATCAGAGGCCACTGACCGGCAATTGAGACAGGCATGATAGGAGCGCCGTTTACCTCGAGGAGCAGCAGCAGGCGCGGTGCCTCTCTCGGGCGACATGACGAAGGATCCCTCCCAAGGTGAAGTTCCTGGGTGAACGCTGAGGGATGCCGAGAGATGGAGGGGAAGGACATGTCCTTGTTAAGTAAAACTAGGACGAAAGGGTAGGTACCGACCCCGACCTTGCCCAGAAAGGTTACGCTGGGCCCAAGGCAGTAACGCTCCCGCCACAACCCCGCAATGCCCCGCGGTGCCTCCCCTGTAATGCCTGTAGTGCCTGCTGCAGTTACCGATAAGACACACAGTCGTCACTGCCCAGGCTGCTGTTCGCTAATATCGCGGGGCTCATTGGCCACGCAGTTACTGCCTAGGGATCTATAGACTTACGCCTGAGTTACGTCACGTGCCCACCCGTTTATCCCCCCTCCTTCAGACTCCCTCCTTCAGACTCCCTCCTTCAGACTCCCTCCTTCTCAGAGACGAACAAGACGAAGCACATGGAACCTAAACCGTATAAGATGCTCTTCTCAAATGCTTTCCCGTTCTGTATTTCTCATATCTCATATAGGTACGTACCTGGCCCATAGAAGACAAAGGCATCATTCCCATGCAAATGTCATATCGCTGTCATGATTTGAAAACACACTCACCCCCTCCCCACCAGGAAAATGCAATGCATGCAGAGCGAGTAAGGTACTGGTTACAACCTCGCTACGGGATCGACAAGCTCACTCATCTCCGAATTGGGATACTCGCAGTTGTCTGACGAATCAGGCCGTTCCCGGTCCCACGCCCACCTCTCCTTCAAGTCAGGGGATAGCGAGTCCTCGAGCATCTGCACAATGTACTTGCCAAGCACGGGGAAGAACTTGAACCCATGGAACGAACCGCAGGTCGCAACGTACAGCCCCTTGGCTGCAGCGTGGGGTGAGATGATGAAATCGGAGCTCGTGGTGAATGCATCCCTGCCCAAAAGCTTAGCAGGCTGACCTGAAGTCTCGTTGGGTACCGTAAGGGGGACGTCTTACCAGCAGATCCTGTGCTTTGTCATGTTCCAGGATTTGCTCTTCTCGCCATACCAAAGGTTCCGCGCATCGGCTACATCTTCCTTCAGTCGCTTCGAGACTTTCCACTGGGAATAGTCCTTGGCTGCGGGAGGTGCCGACACGTGGCGACCAGGAACGACTTCGTGCGTGTTGGCGAAGATCTTGAGTCCCCACCACTTGAGCTCCCTGTCTTTGGTAGGAGGAAGACTGCCAACAAATGGCTTGCCTTTTTGATGACGGTCAGCAGCGTGAACACACCGTTCCTGACGAGGTTCGTTAGTTCTTACCATGCTTGGCAGTATACCCCTGAAATCCGACGGGCATGTCCACATATGTCTTATAGTCTTGCTCGTCGAGCTGCGCCATGCCGGTCGTAATGCCAGCAGCCAGAATCCGGTCACCGGCGCGGAGACTCGTCACACCGCTCCTCGCAGCGCTCAACTCCAACAGCTTGGGCGTGTAGGCCCCCGTGCACAGAATCACATGAGCAGCGCCGAGCACCTGTCCCGACGCCGTGACGATGCCCGTGCAGACGCCGTCGGGGCTCAGCTGCAGAGCCACCGTCTCGGCAGCAACGTACTTGACGCCGAGCTCGATGGCCTTGCGGGTCACCGCCCGCAGACAATCGCCGGCCGCCGCCCAGCCGCTCGCCCTGTTCACGAGCACCTCCGTGACGCCGTCGTAGTTGGCGTCCTCAAAGATGCCGTTGTACAGCTTGCGCGCCTCCGCGACCGGCAGCGCGATGATGTCGTCCTTGCGCCCGAGCCTGCGGTGGTGCTCAATGACGTTCTGCGCATAGTCGCTGCGGCAGTTCCAGTACACGCCCGTCTGGTGGAAAAAGGGCTTCCACAGCGGATCTGTCTTGAAAATGTCTTGCGCCTCCAGCGCCAGCTGGCAGTAGGTGAAGTCGTCGTAGTCGGCGCGCACCACCTTGTTCCAGTCCCAGGACGCCGCCACACGCTCCTCCGCATCATAGGCATCCCTGTCGACCAGGGTCACCGTTGCGTCGGGGTATTTCTGGATGAGATGATAGGCCGTCGATACCCCGAACACACCAGCCCCAACGATGAGATAGGACGCCGTGTTCGCGGCCATGCTGATCTTTGGGAAAGGGTGGGAGGGAAAAGATGCAGGGGCAAGGAAGAACTGGAGTAAATGCAAGAAAGCGCAACACGAATGACGTGAAATGATGTATGGAAAAGGGCCGTCAGTGACTTGCGATGTCCGATGAGCTTGCTGATACCGTGATACGGCAGAGGGAGGGGGGGTGGGAGGAGGTCGGTCCAATTTAGGCCTGTGAATATGTCTGTGCCATGCCACGAGCGGCATGGTGGCTTATCTAGAGGCAAACTCGGCCCCTCGATCCCCCGCCTTTTCGACAGCATCAAGGTTCCGACATCGGGTGGGCAGCCGGCCGATGTCCGATCACGTGGATCAGTCTCTTGGGCCTCTGAAGTGTTCATTCGCGTCTCGAAACGTTATCTGGCTTTTTGTTTTATTTTTGCTATGATGATTAACAATCTAGACCATGACGATTCTGGAGTGACATGCTGTCATTTCGTTGTGATGATCGGCTGCTAAATCCACTAGCATCTCGGGTGGCTATGCACTCCAAGGTACCTTGCCCGACATGGATATTTTGGGATGAAGGAGATACGGAGCACCATGACATGCCAACGGGGTCCGTCTCAACCCCCCAAAGTCCCCCTCCTCTCCTCCCCCTCCGCACACTCCTCATCATCGATGCTTGACTCGCCGCTGCCAAGGCATCGTCACTCTTGCGACGCACAGGACGCGGGCAGCCCGGCCTTGTGACCGCTCGCAGTCCCAGACGCGGCCACGTTGCACAGGAGGGAGCGCGGGTTGTACGTAACATGATGGTGCCGAGCAGATTCGAGGCGGCGAACGGGAGTCGAACATCCGCGAAGCCGACGCATCGTGACACCCGCCTCATGGGACATGAACTCTATTACGCTTCCCGCATTGGGGTAGGAGGCCTTGGCGCGCGGCGGAAGTCTCTGGGTTGAGCGTGGGACCGTCCGTGGTCACGATGCGTCCCTGTTCAGGTTTGGAGAATCCCGCCCCCCCTGCTAACGACCGGTCCAGGCCCTGTCAGAGTCGGATTACCCCCGATTCAGGGTCCTGCAGCAGGATAAGCTCTTGCCAAGAGCTTAGGTTTTACACCGAAAGCTTCATTTCTTTGGCGCGGGTGCACCGGCCGGACGAGGGAGGTTTGGGCCGACTTCATGGCTCATGCTAGCTCTCACCAACATGCAGACCCGGAGCTGTAGTGATTTTGCGGTGTTGTGATGGGAGCCCAGATCGTGATGCTTGGTCCGCGCTCGTCCGGAGGAATTCAAACGCCAGGCAAAGGGATCAGCACCAGGTGACGCATTCGATTCTCGATGGCCTAAACCAAGGAATATCAGGGGTTCGAGAGGGTGTGAGGCATAGCTGCATCTCACTTCAAATCAGCCCGGTCGGTATGCGGCTGAAACAAGCCTCCGATAAACCGGCCGGCACACTGACCTCTAGGCCCGATCACGTGAGCGGCCAATCGCCCGTGTAAGTGACCCCATGATAGTGAGCCAGGGGGGAGTCGTAACAAGTCATCGCGGTTTAGGGACTCCGAGAACATCGGGGGACGTGAGTTCGTGCCGGCGTCAGAGATACGACGCTCGTGGCGTTCAGGAATGAGAGAGCAGGCAGGGACATATAGAAGGACGGCCACCTTCGATACGGAGTGTGGGAGGAAACATAACTAGCTCTATGATCAACTCGTAATCACATCCCAAATCACTATCAAACTCATCATCGTACCACTACAGAAACTCTCTATAATTCCTGACATTGTTCTGTTGCCATGTCGCTCCTCAAAAGGTACCTAGGCCTCGCCGGTGCTGCTCCCGCCCAAGACCCCAAAGCCCCCGTCAGGGCACTACCAGCATCATGGTACACGTCCCAGGACATGTACGAGCTTGAGCGCCGGGCAATCTTCTCCAGAAAGTGGCTCCTCACAACGCACAAGTCTCGACTTCCCAACCCTGGAGACTGGGTCAAGTACGACGTGGCGGGCTACTCCTTCATCGTGGTCCAGGACCGCAAGGGCAAGATCAACGCTTTCCACAATGTTTGCCGACACCGAGCCTTCCCTGTGGTCACGAGCACCCACGGAAACAGCTTCATCTTCTCATGCAAGTATCACGGGTGGTCCTATGGTTTGAGCGGAAACCTCGCCAAGGCGCCGGGGTACCAGGACCTCGAGGGGTTTGACAAGTCCCAGAACGGTTTATTTCCCATCCATGTGCACATCGACAAGAACGGCTTCATCTGGCTGAACCTGGATGCGGGCGAGACACCCGAGATTCCGTGGGGTGAAGACTTTGAAGGAGTCGATGAGCAGCAGAGGTTCGAGCACTACAACTTCGAAGACTACGTGTACGACCACACGTGGGAGATGGAAGGCGAATACAACTGGAAGATCCTGGCAGACAACTACAACGAGTGCTACCACTGCCCTCAAGCACACCCCGACATTCCGTCGATTGCAGATCTCAACTCCTACTACGTTCAGACAAAGGCCTCCCACATCCAACACTTCGGTCAACCCACAGAGGAACAAATCGCAAAGGGCTTTCGTGTGGCGGCAACCTACTTTTGGCCCAACGCATCCATGAATGTTTCGTAAGCTGTCATCCGCTCGGCGCTTCATTCGCCTAGAATCCTTGCTAACCAAGATCTCAGACCGCACTTCTTCTTTATCCAGCGCTTCATGCCCAGCGGCCCCACCAAGTCCGTCATGAAGTATGAAGTATTCCGGAACAAGAATTCGAGTGACGAGGACTTTGGCGTGATCAACGACATGTACAAGCGAATCATGTCCGAGGACAAGTATCTCTGCCTCAACTCGCAGAAGAACCTCAACGCCGGCATCTTTGTCAACGGCGAGCTTCACCCCGAGCTGGAAAAGGGACCACTCTTCTTCCAGAGGACTGTTCGCGAGGTCATGACCGCACACTTTGAGAAGGAGCAGCTTCTTGGCGAGGAAATCTGGCCCGCTCAGCAGCGTGTGCCCAAGTCGGCGGCCGCCAGTCAGGCCGACACCAACTTTTGCTCGGCAGTCGACTGCTGCAGGAAGACCAAGATTACTGAGAAGAAGCAGACCATGGCCGAGGCGCTTGCTTTTTAGAGACGGCTGAGATGCGCATCGATCTTTGCCGCCTGCGGGATTAGATCACCTTCACCTACACTTTAATGATTTTTATGGCGATGATTTGGGGACTTCGGGATTTTACGCAAATTGCCAACATTTATTAGCGTTCATAGCATGCAACCTTGGGAATAATACACTATCTACACAAGCCATTGCTCCATTCCAGCGATCGTTGGCGATATCGTTGCGACTTGTCTGCAGTCACCCTGCCTCCACGTTTAGCTATGGGTGGTTTCACCCCTTCGCTCCTTAACCCATCACATCAGCATTCGCGACAATATGAACATGCAGCCAATGACGCTGGCCATGTTTGCCTTTGACACTCGTGTCAAAGACCCTGATGACGGAGCTTCGGTAGACTGCTGCGCAGCACCGTCACTCTCCGTCGTTGACGGTTCATTCGCTGTAATCGAGAGGCGGGCACTCGCCGTCGTGTCCAAGCTTTGAGTGGTTGTCTCAGTTTTCGACGATGTTGATGAAGATCGATCCTCTTCGACAGATGAACTCCAATCCGGAAAGTCTCTCCCGTACCCATAATCGGAGTAGCTTTTCGTTTGCCACGCCCCGGTAGGTGTGCTAGCAAAGGTTGTCGGAGCAGGGACACCGGCCGCCGTGACTGTGGCGCAAACGACCTCCCCGTCGTGTCGGTACCCAGACGTGTCCTCACCTTCGGGGAAATCATTGAGACACATGAAGTGTTCTGAGAAGGAGTAGGGGTACTTGTCGTTCGACGCATCCAACTCGGGATCGACGAGACAGACTATGGCGCAGGACATTGGGTAGAAGGGATGATCCTGCGCCACAGGCTCGGTAATGTTGTAGACCTCGCCGGAACAGCACTTCGCGAAGTTGGTGGAGCTGTAGTAGCCAATCGGCGGGCTCTTGCAGACGAAGCCGGATATGTTTTCAGGCCACTCGTTCCACGTGTTGGATGGGTTGACGAGGTTGTAGGAGGGTGAGCCTGTGCAGGCCGGCCCAGGACTAGCCATGCTGCTAGTTGATAGATTGAATACCAACTCTGCTCTGGGTTTAACTTGATCGTGACGTCGTACGAATGTGGATGCGTGCGTGGCTCGATGAAATTTTGATGTTTTGATGACAGTAACGAACAGAGGTCACTTTTTGCACGCCGACGAGGCAGAACTTGGAATGGGATAGTGCGGCGCAGCAGATTAATCTGATCCTTCGGCGATAAGCCCCCCATGCTTACCATCAGGCTGTTGAGCGATGGCATCCTCTCCATCGATGACCATTGACCAGAGCCCGGAGAGATTTCATATAGAGCCTCACGATATTTCATCCTTTGGGGAAACGAGAAGTCATCCCTTCGTCTTTAGGGACAGCCGAATTTGGACCGGGGTTTGTCGTCGGGATGATCCTACACAGAGCCTGGTGGGTTCTCGACCACCTGTCGCGTAGTTGTGATTGCAAAGAGCCAATCGATGCAACAAAACCGAAAGAAAATCATGTTTGTGGCTACAGCCAGCAACTCATCAAGGGGTTCGTGAAATCCCTGCCATATATGGCCAGCTACTGCTCGGATGTTCCGACGGCAATGTGTATGCTTCGTCATATTCCGATGATATCCTCTCCACCAACTCCCCGACTACTGATGGTCATGTCCAAGGCTTACACTCTCTAACCCCGGACTCCAGCAGCATAAGCGCACGAATCCCCGCTATTTCTTTGTCCCTTGCTTTATCGGAGAAGGGAAATTAGTAGTCAAGTACCATGTAAGCCGATGTGCTCTGCCAAAAGTGTTTGTGCAAACCACCCCAACCCCAACACCCCAAAGTGTCAGGTAGGGCTGGTCCACTTGACTGCAATGACTGCATATCCCGAAGGATTCGCGGGGTCCGGCATATTTTCACCTCCGGCTAAATTCTATCGTGCTTGAATGAGTATCAGGCGCCTTTCGTAGAATTGATCTGCACGACCTCATGCCGGAGCCTCTCATTTTGCCGGATGATGTCGTACGGACATAGGCAAGGTAGTTGGGCATTGGCGGGAGTTCACTCAATTTATGCCGGACCAACGCCGACGGTGGGCATTTACCCCTCTTCGTATGCAGATGATGTGGTATTGGGCCCAAGATGGACTAGATGAGACAAGGATGGATTAGGGGTCGAGGTACCTACGTTACCAATGCCCATTCAACAGAGGTACTCGGTCCTTGTATCTGAACGAAAAGTACTTGAATAATTGATTAGGGACTCATCAGGATAATACTGATCATTAGAACAATGAAGAAGTCTATCTGAATTAGTGATGACTCACCTGAAATATCACCACTCACCTTCTAGGAAGTGTAATGTTTAAATATTGAGAACTTTTAGGGGGAAGCTAAAAGGTATTGAGGGTGGGTTCCATGGATTATTCCACTAACGCTCACGCCGGGCGCACAACGTGTTCCGGTACCTCCTCCGCTGCCCGTACTGAAACCCCACGTCCTGACTGGACACGACGGACCGATCCCGGCTTACACCCGGGCGCATGTAATGCTCATCTCCTGATGTCTACAGGCGCGCCGATCAACAGCCGGCATAAAGCTTACGCCTGTTATAAGAAGAAGCTTACACCCAGCTCGTGCTGTCTGAAGTGACCGCAGAAACAGATTGACCTGTGACTTGTCTTTATTCATTAAACAGCCAAAAGCCCCGGATCATCGCCATTTCATCAGGGACTCCGGTTCATACGCAAATTCCACGATGGGCGGTGCTCTCGGCGGCAATGCCGCGTACGATGCAGCGTTGGAGCGGCGACAGGCGCTCATGGGAGCCAGCGGCGCCAGAGCTCTTGTCAAGAACTTCAAGGTGGCCCGCATCGCAGCTTTTGCGTGCATCGGAGGCGTTCTTTACGGCTATAATCAGGGCATGTTCTCGGGAATATTGGCTATGCCATCTTTTGGGAAACGTATGTTGCACACTGTCTCATAAATAGACTGGACTTTCAACTGATTCTTGGTTTTCTACATAGATATGGATGGCTACATCGATAATCCTACTCTCAAAGGCTGGTTGACTGCGATCCTGGAACTCGGTGCTTGGTTTGGCACCCTGCTTTCTGGTTTTGTGGCTGAAGTCTTCTCGCGAAAGTATGGTGTTCTGGTTGCGACCGCGGTCTTTATGCTCGGAGTCATCATCCAGATCACTTCAATTACTGGCGGCCACGAATCAATTCTGGCAGGTCGGTTCATTACGCAAGTACCCAAGTGACTGATTCTTGTCTTCTAGTGCTTATATGATGCAGGGGTATGGGCGTAGGAAGTCTTTCAATGATTGTGCCGCTGTACAATTCAGAGTGTGCACCTCCGTAAGCACATGCCTCCTGCTTCTCACAATTGACCAGGTCATTTAATCATCCGTGTTACGAGACAGTGAGGTCCGCGGAGCCCTTGTTGCCTTGCAGCAGCTCGCTATCACGTTTGGAATCATGATCAGTTTCTGGATCGACTAGTAGGTCACCCTCAAAAGGACACTTGCAACACGATGAAGTCAACTAAGACAGGGGCAACAGTGGGTGCAATTACATTGGAGGGACAGAAGAGGAGACTCAATCAGACGCTGCCTGGCTGGTTCCAATCTGCCTTCAGCTCGGACCGGCCATTGTGCTCTTTGTTGGAATGATATGGATGCCTTTCTCGCCAAGGTGGCTGATCCACCACGATCGCGAGGACGAGGCCCGAGACGTCCTTGCCAACCTCCGAGACCTACCCCACGATCACGAACTCATTCAGCTCGAGTTCCTTGAGATCAAGGCACAGTCCTTGTTCGAAAAGCGAAGCATCGCCGAGCACTTTCCTCACCTGCAAGAACAAACGGCGTGGAACATTTTCAAGCTGCAATTTGTCTCCATTAAGAGCTTGTTCACATCTAGAGCCATGTTCAAACGGGTCATAGTCGCTTGCCTCGTTATGCTGTTCCAACAGTGGTCTGGAATCAATGCTGTGAGCCTACCCCGCCTTGCCAGATATTTATTCATCGGGTCGAGTCGAGACTGATGGTGCGGTTCTAGGTCCTTTACTATGCTCCTCAGATTTTTGAGCAGCTCGGCCTGAGTGAGAACACGACAAGCTTACTAGCGACCGGTGTCGTTGGTGTTGCCATGTTCATAGCTACGATCCCGGCAGTCCTGTGGATTGACCGAGTGGGACGGAAGCCGGTCCTGACCGTTGGGGCCATCGGTATGGGTACTTGCCACATCATCATTGCGATAATTCTGGCCAAGAACATCGACAATTTCCATAACGCTCCCGCGGCGGGCTGGGCTGCTGTCTGCATGGTGTGGCTGTTCGTGATCCACTTCGGCTGTAAGCGTCTCTCCGGCGGAACTCCAGCGCTTGACCGTGTTGCTAATACAATGGCTATCCAGATTCTTGGGGACCATGTGCTTGGATCATTGTTGCCGAAATCTGGCCGCTGAGCACTCGTCCCTATGGTGTGTCGCTGGGAGCTTCCAGTAACTGGATGTGAGTAAATGATCGCGTTGTCAAAATGTCCACATTTGACGGTGTTGGGAGCTAACGGTAACTTTTAGGAATAACTTCATGTAAGTCATTTCACATGACAGGTACCTACAGGTAAAGTAGAATGGCACATCTAGATACTGACAACAGCGTCTGCAGTGTCGGCCAGGTCACCCCCGACATGCTCGTGGGCATCACGTACGGGACTTACATAATATTTGGTCTTCTCATATATACTGGCGCAGCATTCGTCTGGTTCTTCGTTCCGGAGACCAAGCGGCTTTCGCTGGAGGAAATGGTATACTTTGAGAAATCCTGCCGCTACTTTATGCCTTCAGCGCTGACTCCCTTTAGGACCTTGTCTTCGGCTCCGAGGGTACCGCCCAAGCGGACTTTGAGCGTATGGCGGAGATCAATCGAGACATTGGTCTTACGGCACTACTCGAGCGGGACCACTATGGCTCGGCAGCTATCGGCGAAGAGCTCGAGAAGCCGAAAATCGACTCTGTCAATCATGTACGAGTGTAGGCAATGCCTCCAGGTTTGCAGCCCCCAGCTCTGACGTAAGCTGTTCCAAAGTGGGAAAAGAATGAGCACTTCCATTTGATGAGCCTTTTTCATGTTCCTATTCGGTATTTTCGCAGAAGTACAAAATTCTTGTCACAGGAGGCTGGACGTGGGAGGTCAGCAGATTTGGTGGTATGTAAGCAGCTGGAAAATATGTATGAAGCTTGAAGATACCATGATACCGGGTCGCTTAACATGAGGCATGCACCTGTGTAATTTGAGGTAGAAGAGTTGGTTCCTATCAAGTCTCGCTTCAGTTGTATTGCATACCTATCGTGTGGAAATGCCAAGCTGCCAGCGTCAGTACTTGGCGGCTTCCCGCATCCGCAATACAGGGGAATTGACGTTCATGCATATCAGATCGGGACTCAACCCTATACCAACGTCTTTCAAAAGCATGACGATGTACTTTCAATCTACTAGTCTGTGTCTCCTACAATCTGCCATGTACAACCCTTGAACACTCAAGATTTTTGACGAGCGCAGCAGAGGAAAATGGCCTACACCCACCCACTCAGGGATCTCGAGTCAGGCGTGTGCGCCGTTTCTCAAGGGCGGTCTTTGTAGGTTGCCGCTCAGTCTGGGCTCGACACAGCACCATTACTTGCAATTCGGAACACCAGAGGATGCTGAAAACATTCGATTGCGCTACTCTTATCACCGTGCGCAGTGGCAGATACGGCCTGACCAGAATCGCCTTTCGACAGAAGAAGGAGCCGTACTGCTGGTATGTTGGTGTGCCTGTGTCTTGGTCGATTCCGTTCCTCGATGGCAGAAAGCAGCTTAATTAGTGCAGCCCCGGAATCGGCATGCCGGGCCCATGACGTGATGGAATCGGAGAGCTCGTGCCAACAAGCACACACTTCCAGGAAGTTTCGCCAGGCCCACCGTCGAGTGGAAACTTATTTCAAAAAGTGATATCATCGCGCCCTCAAGCTGTGTTGGACAGCTCTGGAGTTCCCCGAAACCTCATTTGATATCTACACAGCCATTCTACCTCCCGAGCAGTCTCCGGTCGGTTTCTTCGCACCACCGATCTCAACACATCAACTGGCTGAAAAATGGCTGCCCAAGACACTCCTCAGATGCGCGTCTATCAGATCGACGCCCCTGGGCCAATCGCAAACATGAAACTGGTGACGGTACCACGTCCATCAGAGACCCTCGAAAAAGACCACATTCTCGTCAAGGTCATCGTGGCCGGCATCAACCCGGCTGATTACAAGCTCCCCGAGCTCGGCATATTATCCAAGGCCAAGCTCTCCTACCCAATCTGCCCCGGCATGGATTTTGCTGGTCAGGTCGTTGCCGTCGGCGAGGGCGTGCTGGACATCAAGGTGGGCGATAACGTCCTCGGTCGCATGGATCCTCTCAAGTGGGCCGGCTCGCTCTCGGAATATGTCGTCAGTCCCTACGACGGCGTTGCCACGTTGCCCAAGAATGTATCGCTCGACCAGGCCGGCGCCGCTGGCACTGCCGCCCTGACAGCTTACCAGACCATCGCGCCGTACGCAAAGGCCGGCGATAAGGTCTTCATCAACGGTGGCTCTGGAGGTACTGGCACATATGGTATCCAGATCGCCAAGGCCATCGGCTGCCACGTCACTGTATCTTGTTCGACATCCAAGGCTGCTTTGTGTAAGGAGCTCGGCGCCGATGAGATCATTGACTACAAGACGACAAATGTGACGGCCAAGTTGCGGGAGATTGGCCCCGTCTTCTCCGTCATCGTCGACAATGTTGGCGACTCGCCGCCCGACCTCTTCAGCGCCTCCGACGCGATCCTGCTGCCGAGCGGACACTACAAGTTTGTTGGCGGCCACTTTTCCTTCCAGATGGCAACCCACCTTGCCTCGGGCCTGTTCCTGCCCAAGTTCTTGGGAGGTGTGAGCCACAAGTTCGAGACGTTCATGACGAAGAACTCGCACGAGGACCTCGCGCAGCTGGCGAAGTGGATGGGCGAGGGTAAAGTGAAGACGGTGGTGGACTCGGCTTTTGGGTTTGAGCAGGTCTATGAGGCGTTTGAGAAGCTCAAAGTTGGGTCCGCAGCAGGGAAAATTGTGATTCACGTCCAGGAGAACAAGGCGTAATGCGGGTGCGAGCCTTTTGGGTTTTAAGAATGTAATGAAGGCGTTGTCAATTCACCAAGCTGATCTTGTCCATGTTGTGCCTCCGAAAAACAGTCCATCTTCATGGACACATTTCGGGGAGGCGGTGACATCCGCTCGGCCACGATATCTAGGTAGGTGATCTTAGCCGAGCTTCTACATACCTTACCTGCGTATCATCCGATGTCGGGCAGCAACGTTTGCAGCGATTGATCTTTCTATCGCCATAGTATAGGCAAGAACGAGGCGACATCACTTGAAATGCGGCAGATGCCGAGGCCACATGATGCGTGTACATGAAACTGTTGAGTCGAGGCGAAGGGAAGTAGCAGTCAAGGTCACCTTGACTCACCTGCAGAAAGACAAAACCGCGCGCCTTGAAGTAGCAACTAGCAAGAGCTCCAGATGGGCTGGTCCATCGACGAAGGGGTGGTTCCTACTCCTACGTACCTACCTTGAGACAGAAGCCTTGGGAGGCGAAGGCTTCATGGAAGGCGAGAGTTCCTCGGCCTGGAGTCTGGCCTTTTCCTCAACAATTCGTGTTGGTTATAATTCCAGCGTCGCTTCCCCAGGAGCCATATTTTGACAGTGCAAGGAAACTGCCGTGCTTAGATAGGTACCTTACATGAAAGCCCTCTGAATCACAAGGCTTTGCCACATGAATCACCCATGGCAACTCTTTCCAAGCGAACTGACCTGTCGACATGCTCTCCTGATTTCACCGACCTGACAATTCAACTTGCTCACTTCTTGTCTTCGACATCGCACCCTCTACCTCTACCTCACGCTCTTTTGGACCTTTTTGGACTCCTGAAATCATCCTGAATTCCCTCCTCTACCTTTGTACCATCAACAATGACTCGCAATCCATTCATCAGCGGCGCTGCTCTCGCCTTGTCGCTGGCAGCAGTCAGCATCGCCCAGGAGAACTGGGAA